AAAAACCATCGTGACCTTGAAGTAACCTTCAAAATTGACCTCAAGGTCAAAACCAATGGTACAATTGAATGACCCCCTCTGTCCTGGTCAACTTTTATCTAAACCATTTTTTTGTAGATACCGTAATTTGGAAGATATTCGGATCCATAGACTAAAATGACTCACCCTGTATAATATATGTCAAGATGAAGGTCATCGAAAGTGACTCCCCTAAAGTGTACATTCACCCACTATATTCAACCATAGATTTAATTTAATGCAATGTTTAATACCTTTGCAGGTTGAAGGTTGCCTAATACCTTAGGTATTGTAGATTGAAGGAAATAGTCATACACAGAGTACGCAATATATTTTTATTTCCCGATATTATATTCAATCTTACATCTCTAAGCCGTGAACAGCAGAAGCATATAAATTTTTTAAATTCTGTTATGGAAGAGGTAGATATTACAAATATATTTTCTAATGATGTTATATGATATAACATCATATCTATCTCTTCCATAACAGAATTTAGAAAATTTATATGCTTTTGCTGTTAACTTAGAGATATAAGATTGAATATAATATCGGGAAATAAAAATATATTGCGTACTCCCTTATAGAAATATCATACTAAGAATCATTGATAATTACTTATTATCCAGTATTTTTAATACTGAAAATAAGTAATTATCAATGATTCTTAGTATGATATTTCTATAAGGGCTGTGTATGACTATTTCCTTCAATCTACAATACCTAAGGTATTAGGCAACCTTCAACCTACAAAGGTATTAAACATTGCATTAAATTAGATCTATCGTTGAGTATAGTGCACAATAATTAAAATAATTTATGACCTGAAGAGAATCATACGTTGTTATTTCGTTAACAAGCGACTCATTATTCTTTAATTGCGATCCTCGGTTAATATGCAACGTGTCTGCGAGATTACGAATAAGTAAAAATTATGTCATTTTTAATATGATAAATGTTTTAATTTTAATATAATTTAAATATATTAAAACAATACATCATTTATTATTTTGATTAAAAGCTTATATATATTTGTAATTAAGAGATTATAACACAAACATATAATTTATAAACGACTCAAAATCGAATATAGTATTCCATCTTACCGCAAATCATGTCCAGAAAACAATTTGTTATATGATGAAAGAAATCTACGTTGACGTTTACCATGCATTCTATCTTCTTTATTAATACTGATATATGCTTCACAAATATATCGAGCAGAATGCTTGTAATATAATGCTTGTCGCTAGCATTTTTCGATGGTGGACCTATATATGTTGATATTAAAGTGAAATGAAAAAGGAGAGTATAAGCGCCCTTCTTTACTAAATACGATATTATAAATTTGTTAACAAATTTTCTCAATAGTGCCTATCTGAATTACATATTATGTAAATAACTTTGTTACATTTATATTGCAGGCACAATGCAACAAATCTGATAGAAATCTTGTTAGATTTATATTACATGCGATAATTACGCGCTCATAGTAACTTTAACTTTAAAAATGTTGGCTGTATTGTAGATGCACAAATAGATTATTAGCTCATTTAATTTCTTATAGAATTAATTTGAGTGTGTGTGTGCTTGCGTGTGTGCGTGACTATATTGGCCGCTAGAGGAACCAAAAGCGACATAGACCTCCTAAAGCGACACACCTCTATATCTCATATATGAAATGTTGTATTTTATCGAAACTGTTATAAACGTAATTCGTTTTACCAGTAAAGTCATGAAAAAGTCATATTTGGTATATTTCTTGTTCTTTTATATGCTAAATTAGTAAATATTGAGTTTTAGAAATTCGCAAGTTTTATTTCTATGATTTTTATTGGCGAATTACGTAAACTAAACATCGATAATTATCTTTTTGTTCAACATTAAGTTCTTGTAGATGCATTTAACTTTTGTACAAATATTTTTTCAATATTTTAATCTTTATCACTTTTTTACTGTGTAACTTGAAAAATTTTATGAGAATGTGTTTTATGTGAAAGTGACATACCTATAGTATGCGATAGCTACGATAGTCTGTGAATAACATAACCTGATTTTAACCTCACATTAGGCGTATTTTCGTTATCCAACCACGATCAACCAGAAGCGACCGCAGTCATTTTTGTTAGTGATT